TCAAAGAAGGTTACCCAAGCGCGTGCTTAATGCTTTTGCTAAGGTGTTTGTTCTACCCATGTTAGATACGCGCAAAATCCTCTCGCCACACGAGCAGTGAGAATAACCAGCATACGAACCCACGCCCTCCCTTGCTGTTGTGTGTCTCCCCTTTGGGTGTCGCCGGTTGTATAGGCTGACCGTTTTCACGAGTAACACGTCCTTACGGGCAGCACGGCCTGGATAGAGCTATTTCCGAGTTTTGGGCCAGTTCTTGGTGTAGAGATGCATCATGCACGGCTTTTTGCCAACGGTGACTCCCTTTCTTGCGACGGGATTGTGTTTTAGAGTGTTTTCGCAGTAAGCCTTCTGCTTTACGATACCAGCGGGGGTTGTCAATCTTTTCGCCTTCTGAAGTCGTCAGATAATGGGTTGTTCCCATATCTACAGCAATTGCGTCTGTTGGCTCAACTTTTGAAGTATCTTCTATATCGCAGGAGATATGGGCATACCAGCCAGACGCTTTTTTGACAATCGTTACTTCTTTCGGGACACCGACAAAGCGACGGTGCATGTATATCTTAACTTTACCTAACTTTGGAACTTCCAAACGATTGTGGCGATAGGTTGTTTCTATAATCGGGTTCTTGCGAACACCTTTTGTGTTCTTGCGGAGACTCCACGTCAAAGAACGCACACGCTTTTTATAGCGAGGAAACCCCTTTTTCGCTTCTCCGTTTTCACAACGTCTACGGAAGTTCGCAAAGGCTTTATCATTTCTCCGTAGGGCGTGATTTTGGAAATCTTGTGGCACTTCACGGAAGTCGTCATACTTCTCACGCGCGCCTGTGAAAAGTTTCCCTTGCTCGTTATATGTAACAAAACGACCTTCTGTTTCTAAAGCAACAATCCTATCGTGGCGGGCAGAATTCTGCAACTCACATAAATGTAGAAACCACTCTAATAAGGTCTGCTCTTGGTCAGTTGTCGGATATATCGGATATTTAAATGTTAATCGCATTGGTATTTCACGTTTCACGCTTTTATCCCCTGCATAGTGGGAGGCAGACACGTTACCGGGGTCCCCACCCGTTACTGGGAAGGGGGCGGTAACGCTATGCATGTCTGCCAACGTGATACTCTAATTATACTACATTTCAGACCGAAAGTCAATTTTTTTTTGGCAGTTTGGTCCTTCCCAAGAGGGCGGATTTTCCTCCCAAACCTAAAGGATTGGGATTCCAATCCGTAAACATGTTGAACACCGTTTAAATACGCCGAAGTCTTCACGGATACAGATGTCGCCCCGCTGGGGAAACCAAAGAGGTCTTTGGGGTGTACACGGTTTGTGGCTAAGATCCGGTGCGGTTGAATGAAGTTTAAATAAATATTTCGTAATTCGGGGTTACAAACCCCTCCCACATTACCGATTTAAATTCTTAATCTTCATAAAACCGCACCTACCGGGCCTGGAGAAAATCAGGATTACCGATTTAAATACTTAAAATTCATCAAACCTCGCCAGCAGATACGCGGGATTGCCCACGTTCCAATTCATTTGGTCGCGGTGGATCTTACGCTCATTTCGCAACCTTTTCATACACAAAGTCTGCTAACATGTTGATGAATTTGGAATGGTCACCGACTGTGCCTGCCCGAATGAAATCGATGCCACACGCTTCCGCGGTTTCTGTCGCCTCTATGTCCAAATCGTAGAGCACTTCAACATGGTCGCAGAGGAAGCCGATCGGTGAAGCGACGACGGTATCAACACCTTCATCCTTTCGGGCTTTAAGCCAATCATTGATGTCCGGCTGTGTCCATGGAATAGGGCTGTTTTCTACCTCGCTCTGGTATGCTAAACCGAATCGGGTTTTTCCAATTTGTTTAGCGACTGCCTCGCCTGTTTTTCCAAATTGTTGTGTATAGGGTGAAGTATCCGCCGCTGATTGGGGGATTGCGTGCGCTGTGAAAACAAGTTCGGCGCGTGCTAATTTGTCGCCACATGCGGTTTCGATGATTTCGGCAATGGCACCAATGTAACCTTCGTGTGTGTACCACGGGTCGAGATAATCAATAGTCGGTTTCTCACCATCGACTGCGTCGATTCCTTTTTTTACTGTTTGTTGGTACCATTCCCAACTGACTTTGGATTGGTGCGGTGCCATGATAATGCCGAGTATTTTGCGGTGTCCTTTTTGTGCCATTTCCGCGATGACTTCTTTTAAATAGGGATTCCAATGTCTGAATCCAGCGTAAACAGGTAGCAGTAGATTGCGCGCTTGCAGTGCGGTTTCTAATGCGTCGGCTTGTGTGAAAGTTAATTCGTTGAATGGTGAAAACCCGCCCAATTTTATGTAGTGAGCCGAGATGTCTTTTACACGTTCTTTTTGAGATTCAGCTGCCCCGGTAATCCCTTCAACGAAACAGTAGGCCTCGCCAGGACATATATCGCTATTGTATTTTTGACAGCAGCCGGGTGTCGGTCCACCGAATGCAACGAGTAAGACGCTATCGTATCTCATTTTTGTTTCCTTCTATGCCATATTCGCTAACTGTGCTGGCATATACCTTGCGTCAGCGGCGATCGCCTTCGCGAAAGCTTCACGTGCGAGTGTCTCGTCTCCATTTGTGCGATGTGCGAGTCCGATACAGAAGTACGCCCGTGCGAGTTGTGTCCCGTGAATTCCGATGACGAGAGCTTTATAGACGGATTCCAGTCCTGCTTTTGTTTCGTCGCCGTTGCGATAGGCAGAGAAAATATGGTTGTACCCACGCAAAAGATGTGCTGGCGCGTGCTCAGGGTCCAATTCAAGAGCAACATTGATTGCTTTTTTTGCTTCGGCGAAGAAGTCACCTTTCTCAAGGACGCTTGGCACGGTGCGGGATGCTTGTGTGAGCAAATTTGCGTATTCTGTCCACGTGTCGGGTAGATTCGGATATTTTTCGGTTGCGGTTTTCAAGATGGCAATTGCTAAGCCAAAGTCATTACCTTCCGCGACCTCTTCGGCGGTTTCTCGATAAGCCTGAAAGTTTTCAAGTTCGTGTGTTTTTTGGTGAAGTTTTTCGGTATCCGCAGCCGGAATAGCCGAAGGTTTCAGATGTTGCCAACCCGGTTCTGGATCGTCGATTAACCCGCGATATACCCTTAAAATCGCATAACGCGGTGTTCCCCATACCTCAGCAATAGAGCGAATCCAATCGGGTAAGTTGGCTTCCATTTCGGTGAGCAGTGTGTTTAAGGACATGCCCTGTTCAACACGTTTTCGGACTTCTATTAGGAAATAGGACTCAATCTCAAGCAACAGATCAATTTCGGCATCACGCGCTAAGGGTCCGTGTCCCGGTAGGACAGATTTAGGTTCGTACGCCCGGAGTTCCATAATTGTGTTGATCCAATCGTGGTTCGCCATGAGTCCTTCGTTCATAACGGGCTGTCCAAAAATGGGAAAACTCCCTGTCATGACGGTGTCCCCAGAAACAATGCAACCTTCTGCTGGGATCCTGACGGCAGTGGCATCATCCGTTTCTGCCTTTCCTAAGTGAACGAGGTGTAGCGGTTGATTACCTAAATCAAGTTCGGTTTCGTGTGTGAACGTCTGTTGTGGTAGAAAGGGAGGATCGCCGAGTGTAAAGCCGCGGGAACGCAGGAATGCCTCCTGCCGCGGTGACCTGTTCACCATAAAATCTTTGGTCATTTCGCGAGCGACAACGGTTGCCCCGGCTTCATGAAAAATCGTGTTTCCATTGGTATGATCCCAGTGGTAATGGGTGTTAATTGCGTACAGTATTGGTTTATCAGTAATGGTGCGGATTGCATTACGCAACCGCCGTGCCATCATTTGGTTTACCTGTGTATCAATTACCGCAACCCCTTTATCTCCAATGATAATAGAAGAGTTTACAATATTGCGAAAGAGATACACCCGTTCCGTTACTTTAACGAGCTGTCCGTATTGTCGTGGTGCAAAGGGGTTTTCGAGGATGTTTCTCATTAATTTTCCTACAGTGTTTTTGCGATGTGTACGAAATGCTTAACATTTTCAAACGGCGTATCTCTGTGCAGACCGTGGCTCAGGTTCAAAATATGTCCAGTTTTTCCGCCCTGTTTTAGACAGGTCTCAACGGCTGCCGTGATGTCGGCAAGTGTTCCATCACGAAGGAGGTCATTATCGACGTTCCCTTGAAAAGCGATGGCACCGTTTGTGTCTGCTTTGGCTTTGCTAAGATCCACGCATTTTCCAACGCTTAGGACATTTGCCCCACTCCGATGCATTAAATCTACATAATTGCATTCTTTTGCGAACAGGATTCCCGGCACCTCTGGATTGAGTTCGGCAAAGATTTTCTGATGATACGGAAAAGCGAACTCTTCATATATCTGCCTCGGCAGGACATCGGCGATGGACTCAAAAAGTTGCACGATTTGAACACCCTCGCTGATTTGATAGTTCAAGTAGTTAACAGTCATTTCGGTCAACTTGTTTAGGAGACGATGTAAGAGTTCTGGTGCTTCTTCCATCATTCGGAAGACTGGAGCCGCTTTCTCAGATATTCCTTCACCACGTTTGATCGGACTTTCCCCGGCGATGAGGAAAAAGGCAAGCGTCAAAGGTGCCCCAGCGAAACCGATAAGGGGTAGTTCCTCGTTCAAGGTTTCGCGTAGTTTGCGAATGACATTTCCTGTGAATGCTAATTGCGTAGGGGGTTCATCGACGGGTCGAAGCGCGTCTACTTGTGCTTGCGTGCGGATGGGTGGGTTTAAAATGGGTCCTGGATCGAATCGGAAATGCGCGCCCATGGGTGCGAGGGGTGTGAGAATGTCCTTGTAGACAATAATGGCATCGACACCGATACGTTTGGGCAGAAGTGATATCTTGACGGCTGATTCGACATCTGTTTGGGACATCGGTGCGGGGCAGGTCCGAAAGAGCCGTTCCAATGGAAGATTAAGCTCACGTCGAATTTGACGGTAAACGGGATCTGACCTGCCTGCTTGCCGCATCATCCACACTGGGACGCGTTCTACCGGCAAACATCTCGATGCGCGAAGAAGTAAGTCATTTTTTAATTGTCGTTTCATATTGATCGGAACTACCTCTTTAGCGCATTTTCAAATTGCCCCACATTGTTGCTAATTTGTCGGTAGGTTCTACTGGAGCAACGCCAAGAACTTTACCCACACCTTCTTCCATGAGCGTTTTCAGATCTGCCTCGCTCAAGGCATCGCTGAACATCGCGACATCGTCGATGATGCCTTTGAAGTAGCCACCGTCACATCCGTGGCCTGCCGGGCAGAGTCCACTTCCGATGAGTAAGCCTTTTTCGGGTGCCCCGACTTTATTCGGTCCCTTTGCCTTAAATTCGCCATCAATGTAGAGTTCGTACTCCGTGCCGTTGTAGATACCAGCGACAAAATACCATTCGTCTGGTTTATTCACGGGTGTGTTCGCCGCGGCACAACCCGCCTGACAACTTTTGAACTCAAAGTTGCCGCCGTTCCAGAACTCAAACCACCAATTCGCGCCCCCACCGTCCCCCGGATTACCATTTGCAATGACAAGGGTTGCTGAGCCCTTACCTCCTGGATTGTTGCCCCCAACAGCCGTCGGATGCATCCAGAAAGTGACTGTGAACACCTCTGGGTTGAACAGAGGTGAGGGCGCGATTTCGACGTAATCATCTTTTCCGTCGAATATAACGGCTTGCCCAAATTGTCCGTCTTCCCATTTTGTGCCTTCTTTGAGTTCGCCATCGTTGCCGTTCCCGGACAAATCTTCGGCAATTTTCCCATTACCTTCGTCGAAAAGCCAGATTCCAGCGACTGTCTTTGGATCAATTTTGGCGTGGCTCGTCGTAGCACAGTATACGGTGAGGAAGGCAAACCCACAGCCTATCAGTATCCAGCATCGCTTGGGTTTGCTAACAAGGAATTTTATGAGAGAATTCATCGTGAAAGGTCCTCCTTCTGATGTCGCTCAAGAAACTGCCGTAGTTTGGCAAAACTTTTTACGTTTTTCATGATTCTGCCGCTTTCCCGTTCTTCGAGATAGAGAAAAAAGCCCATAAAATAGAGGCTCACTAAAAACAGCAGCAATCCTGTGCAGCATTGGGCGATTGCCCAATAATTTGGTTGAAAACTTAGGTAAGGGGTGACAGCCCCGGTGTCGCTTTTTGCGTCAACTGAGTCTTGCTGAGGCCATTCCACCGAAATGAAGCCACCCCACCCAGTTATCCCAAGAGATAAGAAAGCGATTGAAAGGACAAAAAGGATGAAAAATGGGATGCCCATGTTATTTGCGCGTTAATCAGAAACTTTTATCAAGCCCTTCGTACAACCGTCTTCGCGATTGCGGACCTTTGTTATTCCTTCAACGAGTGATTCGAGCGAGAACTCGTGGCTGATGATTTTGTCCATGTTAACATCGCCACTCGAAATGAGCTGCACTGCTTCTTCCCACGTATCAGGTGCCAGCCAAGAGAACCTGATGGTTTTATCCATAAGGATCGTATCAAGGATAGGAACCTGCATTACATCTGTATCGCCGGGAAGTCCGAAGATAACGACAGTTGCGTGTCTGCCTGTAACTTCTAAAGCGGTGTGGATTGCGTTGAGCGAGCTGGTAGCTGTAATTGCACGATCTGCCAATTCGCCATCGTTGAGTTCCTGAATCATAGCACCCAAGTCTTCCACATAGTGTGGAGAGTTGGTATCACTAACATTGACGACTACGTCAGCACCGAGTTCCTTACCGCAGTCCAAGCGATAATCACGGGTTCCGACAAGCAGAACGTTTTTCAAGCCACGGCTTTTTAGAACTTGCACCATCATCAAACCGATGGGACCGGGTCCGAAGACGACGGCAGTTTGCCCTTCTTCGGCGTTGAGATTGTTGACAGCATAAAGTCCACAAGCGAGCGGCTCCGTTAGTGCGCCTTGATCGTATGTTACATTTTCAGGTAACTTGACTGTCCAACGGTAGTCTGAGACTGCGTACTCCGCAAAGCCGCCATCAACACCTACACCTAAGACGCGTTTTTCGGGACATAAGTTGGACAATCCTTTCTTACTCCAGACGGAATCTGGATTTGATTGAACAGGATTGACGACAACCCGATCACCCACTTTGAATTCACCTGTTTTTCCGGCTTCGCTGCCAACTTCGACGACCTCACCAGTAAATTCGTGTCCAAGGGTAAGGGGTCCTTTCCCGTCGTCGGTTTCAAGCGAACTATTGCCAAAATAATACGCCACGTCCGAACCACAGATACCTACCGAACGGACTTGGACGAGCAGGTCGTTATCACCGGCTGCTGGCACGGGCCGATCTTCGAGGCTCATTGATTCGGGTTCATAGAAAATTTGGGATTTCATTATGTGCCCCCCTAAGTTTGTAATGAATGTAGTTATTTTAGCATATCTGAAATTTAAATTACAATGAAATTCAATCTTAGACTCCAGTATATTTGGTTTTCGGACGGATAGTTATCAGTATTCGGTGTTTATAATAGATTTTACAATTATCTATACATATCTATACACTCTAAGGGCGAGGTTAGGAAACCTCGCCAGCGGAGACAGTGAGTTTACTAATGTCAAAAAATAAATCGCATTTCCAGAAATAACAGTCGACTGCAGAACTCGCCGAGAAGGACTGTGATAATGGCGATAAAGAGGAAACCGGTCGCAGCTCGTGTCGCACCAAGCACATCACGGGCGATGGATTTCGGACGCAAACAGACCCATGTAATGAAATAGAGGAACAACGTGCCAACAATACCTATAAGTACCCGCATGCTGAAGATGATTTGATAGAAGAGGTTAAAGGAGACGGTATCTGTGGATTGCTGCCTGAAAAAGAGGTTCAGACAGAGCAGCAGTGCCACCCCCGAAAGCGTACAGAGAAGGACAGTATTAAACCGTTTCAAGTAAATCACCGGTAAATCAGGCACCACGAGGTACCAATGACCAAACCACATCCCGCTGTGGACTGCACCGAGCAGCGCGGCGGCTGTTAAGAATTGAAGTGGTAACAGGAACATTTCACCCGGAAGTTGTAAGATTTGAAGATACCGCTGGGCACTCAAAATCAGCCAGACCACGCCGAAAATAAACCCACTAAAGAAGAGGAGTCGTGTGAAGAGTGGTGTTTTGAACCACCAACTCAGTGTATAGATAAAGACAATGAGAACGAAACAGATAGCAGAAATAGACTCGGGATTCTGCCAAGATCCGAAGAAGTTGCGAAATGTGACAGGTTGCTGATGGAGCGCAAGGTTTGCGCATCGCGATAATCCGCTCACGAGTAGATAGATGCTGCCCATCAAACGATAGAAATTCGCACCCACTAACTCTTTCGGGACTAAGAGAAGAAGAGCGAACCCGCCAACCGCGAGTTGACTGAAAACAAGATAAAAAACATCAACAATACTGAACATCAGTGGTACTTAGTAATTTCCAGCAAACAAAAACGAAAACCCATTACAGTTCGCCGTAGAGCAATGGATTGATGCATCGCTATGCTCAAGAACCATAATGGGTTTACCTGTTGTGCGCGGTTTAAGAGCGCGCTGTCTGTGACATAAGACGGTATGTTCCGTCTATATAATTTCGACTGTGGCACCGAGGGCTTCGAGTTGTTCTTTCGTTTTCTCGGCTTCCTCTTTGGCAACGCCTTCTTGAATGGCGACTGGGGCGGATTCGACTTTCTCTTTCGCTTCCTTCAACCCGAGCCCTGTAATAGCGCGAACCTCTTTGATAACCGGAATCTTCTTGGAACCGAAGTCTTTGAGCTGAACGTCGAATTCTGTTTGCTCTTCAGCTTCGGCGGCTTCTTCTGCTGCAGGAGCAGCTGGCATCATGCCGGGCATAGCGAATGCCGGTGCAGCCGATGCACTGACTCCGAATTTATCCTCTAAGGCTTTGACCAGTTCAGAAAGTTCCAGAACGGTCATACTACTAATTTCGTCAATCAATTTTTCTAAATCTGCGGCCATGTTTATATCCTTTCTATATGTAGTATCAAATTAACTTGATTAGAGATTTTCTGATCACGTCGTGCAAGGTCAAGTCACGGCGACTTGGTTGCCCTGCGATATTTGATATAAGCGCTGGACGCGCTTTGGGTTAGGCGTTTTCCGCCTCTTTCTTTTGATCGGCAACCTGTGTCAGTACGGAGGTTACCTGACGTATCGTTCCACTAAGTACATTCACCATACCCGTGATGGGTGAACCTTGATGTAAGGTGTTGACGAGTCCGGTGAGAGGCGCGCTGATCATCCCGACAGCGCGGGCAATCATGACTTCTCGTGACGGCATATCTTGGAGGGCTTCAACGCCTGCTGCGTCGATTATTCGTGTTCCAAGAATCCCACCTTTAACCTTAAAATTTTGGTGTTCCTCGCCAAATTCAAGCAAGATTTTTGAGGATGCCGCTGGATCTGTACCCGTAGCGAGGGCTGTATTTCCTTTGAGATAAGGTGCTAAGCCGTCAATACCTTTTTCTTGAGCGACAACGTTTATCAATGTATTCTTACAGACTTTATAGTGGATACCGGCTGCTCGGAGTTGGTTCCGCAGTTCGTTAACTTCTGCGACGGTAAGCCCCTGAAAGTCTGTTAGCAGAACAACATCGGCATTGTCAAAAATCTCACGAATTTGTTCTGTTTGCTGAACATTTGCCTGATTCGGCATGTTTCAGTTCCTTTCTATGTAGGTTGTATAGTAACCATAGCGCGATACCTTGGTTTTCCTATAAACTTGTTAATTGGGTATACGATTGCATGCAAAAAGCCCCCAGGTGCCTGGAGGCTCACATCCAAAAAGGAGCGAACAACGAACGATGAGATTTCACGGACGCTTCAATCGTACATCACTCGTTCTGTTCCACTCAAGCCTCGGTAGGCAATTAAGCCGATGGCACCTACGTTCTACGACTCTATTCAGTTGTCGGGCTATTCCATATCGTATCCCGTGCGGATTATGCAAATTGCTGTGGATCTATCCGGATACCAGCTCCCATTGTTGCTGATATAGCAACGCTCCGAATGTATCTGCCTTTCACCACGGACGGACGAGCGGCAACGAGTGCACTCATCACTACGTTGAGGTTTTGTTTAATACTTTCTTCCTCGAATGACACTTTGCCGATTGGGACATGAACAATACCGGAGGAGCGTTCTGCTCGGTATTCGATTTGTCCTGCTTTGATATCTCGTATGGTTTCGGCAACATCCGTTGTGACGGTACCTGCCTTGGCGTTAGGCATTAAGCCTCTCGGTCCAAGGACTCGCCCGAGTTTGGGCATGATATTTCGCATCAGATCCGGTGTTGCAATTGTTGCGTCAAAATCGAGCCATCCGTCAACGATTTTATCAACAAGATCGTCTGTTCCAACGAAATCTGCCCCGGCCTCTTCGGCTTGTCGTGCCAGATCGCCCTGGGCGAAGACGACAACACGAACAGATTTTCCTGTTCCGTGTGGCAGCGCGACAATGCCTCGGATATTCTGGTCTGCCTGTCGGGCATCTATACCGAGACGTGATGCTAAATCCACGGTTTCATCAAACTTCGCACTGCCCGTTTTTTTGACCAGGGAGACAGCTTCGTCTATCGTGTAAAGTTGCAGTCTATCTACGTGTTCGTTGATGCCGTTGTATCGCTTCCCTTTTTTCGCCATGTTGTTCTCCATGGGGCATATCTCTATAGCCCCGTTTCAAAGTGAACTTATCCGTATATCAACGATGCTGTGCTTCGTCAAATGGATAAGCCTCGCTAATTAACCGTCAGCCCCATGCTACGAGCGGTTCCTTCTACCATCCGCATTGCTGCCTCTAAGTCTGTGGTATTTAGGTCAGGTAACTTCGTCTGCGCGATTTCTCGGATTTGCTCCATTGTAACGGAAGCAACCTTGTTCCGATTGGGTTCACCAGAACCTTTGGCAATCTTTGCTGCGGCTTTGAGTAAGATTGCGGCAGGCGGGGACTTTACGCTGAAACTAAACGACCGATCGCTATAACAAGTGATGACGGTTGTCACCACCATCCCGGTTTGATACTGCGTCTGGGCGTTAAAAGATTTGATAAACTCCTGTAGATTAATCATGTAAGGTGCGAGACTGGGACCAACGGGCGGTTGTGGTGTCGCCTGTCCGGATACTAACTGGAGTTTAACTTCACCTGCTATTTGCTTTGCCATAGTTTTTCCCTATTTTGGGTTGTGAGCGTTTCAAGGTACGTTTTACAGTAAAACGGCGCGAACTCACAATCACGGTTCTCTATTTAAACAACACCGTTTGCGTTTAGTTCAATTCTTCCACTTCAAGTAAGCCCAAGTCAACGGAGGTGGAGCGACCGAAAAGCGAAATACTGAGGCGTAACCGTTGGTGTTCCATGTCAATTTCCTTGATTTCGGCGGGGAATCCACTAAACGGTCCGTTTATCACCTTGACCTTATCGCCTATTTCATATTCCATTACGGGTACGGGTAGCGTTTCCTCTTCCTCGGTTGACAACTGGAGCATTACTTCGACATCATCAGGACTCAGGGGCGATGGATGTGAGGTGGGACCTAAGAAGTTCATGACTCCCGGTGTTTCTTGTATGAGAGTCCAACTTTTTTGCCCAATCAGATTGTCGACATGTGGACCGAGTTCATGGATGGTATTAACAAGGACGTACCCCGGATAAGAAGGTCGGAGACTAATTTTCCGTTCGCTGTCTTTAATCTCTACAACCTCAGTCTCTGGGACATTAACTTGCAGGATTTCATCCCGTAACTCTTCCCTCACGATCATGTTGTCGAGGTTAAGTTTAACCTTTTTCTCATGTCCAGTGTATATTTGAACGACGTACCAATATCCATCCATATTCTGATTCACCAGGGTATACAAATTATAGTTAACGAATAAAGAGGTTCTGAGGAAAGCCATACCGAAACCTTCAAGGGAATTATTCAGGACGTACTGGCTTACAAGTACGGCCATTAACGGAATACAGGCTATTGCTGCCGCTATCACTTTCTGATTCGGCTTGTTCTCATCGGACGACTTGGCTTCTCTACTGCTTTGTGGCTGATTCTCCCAACTTCGCGCAGTAAAGAAAACAACAATTGGAAGAATTACCAGAAAAATCCAACTCAGCGGGTTGTTCCATTCTGGAAAGGCGGAGTTGCCATCGACTAACCCGATGTAAAGTCCTAAGAAAGCACAAGCGATGATAACAGTAATGGTGCTTCCTTGGACTTCTTTCATGTCCGGTTTAGACACTCTCTGCCATTCTTGGTTAATTCCCTGAATATAATTTTTAAAACGAGTCTATCATAAGATTATAAAGGCAGGCCAGGAGGGATTCGAACCCCCAACATTCGGTTTTGGAGACCGGCGCTCTAGCCATTGGAGCTACTGGCCTGCAAGTTTTGCGTAGGAGATCGGACACCTATATTTAACGGTTAGAGCGGTGTTGTCTGCGTCACCTACTCAAAAAGTTATCGCGTTTCCTTGTGGGATGTATGCTTTCGACAGAAACGACAGTATTTCTTCCGTTCGTACCGATTTTGGTTTGTCCGGCGGTTCCGGGTTGTTACATAATTCCGCTGACTACATACATCACATGCTAATGTTACAATGTCTCTGGGCATAATAAGTACTCTACTTTCAATAAGTGGAGCCGATGACCGGAATCGAACCGGTGACCTCGTCCTTACCAAGGACGCGCTCTACCGACTGAGCTACATCGGCAAAGATTAAGAAACCTCAACAAGCGGGAGACGGGAATCGAACCCGCGACACATGGCTTGGAAGGCCAATGCTCTACCAGCTGAGCTACTCCCGCATAATACGAAGGGGAACTGACATACTACTGAGGCATGATACTCTGGAATATATAGCGAATGCGCTTTGTAGTATGGAAAATCTGCAAGCTGCTCCGTAGACTTGTTCCCCGACCAGATCCCGCCGCGATGCTGCTTCGTATAAAAGCAGATGGGGGCAGATGGATTCGAACCACCGTAGGCATAGCCAACAGATTTACAGTCTGCCCTATTTGACCGCTCTAGCATACCCCCATTAAAAAAGCTGACGAGAGGAATCGAACCTCCAACCTAGTGATTACAAATCACTTGCTCTACCATTGAGCCACGTCAGCAGCACTTTTAATTATACCCACTTTATTGGGAGTTGTCAAGTCAGGTACCCAAACCTAAAGACGTTGGGAAACCTGTGGTTTCCCGTAATGTCTCGTGCTTCGTTCTTGTTTCTCGCTTCGTAGGGGACACCAACGCATCGCCCATCACGAACGCCCCCAGCGGGCGTAGAAGGTGTTTCTTGTTGGATTTTTCGCATACGGTGTTTCGGGAGCGACGAGTTTACATCCCACTCTGCGGGTCCCACTTCGGTGGTGTTGGGTTGCGAGTTATTTGGACTTCGCTCCAACCGGGCGAAGTCGGCACACCTCTAAAAGACTGACAATTGGGGTGTCCGAGAATACATCAATCCTTATGCGACCATTATTTATTATACTACATTTTTTTATCTTTATCAAATCTTTTTTTGACCTCGCACGAATCACCATATTAGACCCAACGCTAAAGCATTGGGTTTCTTTAGTTAATCGTGATTTTCGATTTTTTCGGCGAGAGATTGTTCTGATAGGCGCAATTTTCGCCAGTGCCGAGATCTAAAGACCTTCCTCGCGCTCCTCTGCGTCAGTATCGCCTTCGCGTGCGAGGAGTTCTTCATCGAATATATCACTCCCGTCGTCTGAATCCTGCGGGTCGGTAAAAATAGACGGTGTATTCTGGACCGGTGCTTTGACCTCGCTTTTTTCAAAGTGAAGTTTACCTTCAACCAATTCTTGTATTGCAATGGCGACAGGTTTCTTTTTGTTATCTACAGGGCTTGAAGGTGCAATAGACAAACCGTCTGCATTTATATCTCTGGCGCGTTTTGCGGCAACATTCACTGCGAGGTATTTATTTGCCACGCGTTTCACTAAGTCCTCGTTGTAAACCACTTCGTTCATTTCGTTTCTCCTTATTAAATACAGATTCAGATCAAGCGTATTATAATTATACTTAATTTTCTCCAAAAGTCAAGTTAAAATGGAAGAAAAGTTGACAAACAGGTTATAAAATGTTAAAATTGGAGTATTAGATTCGGCATTAGTATGCTTTATGAATTATATTGAGGAAACTTGTAAATGGATACAAACATCCAACCTATCCTTGAGAAATCGCTTGCGGGAGAACGGTTAGACTTTGACGACTGCCTGACGCTTTTCAAGAGTCACGATTTACTTGCTCTGGGGCACGCGGCAGATATTGCCCGACAACGCAAGCATCCGGAAGACTACGTCACTTACATTGTTGACCGAAACATCAACTATACCAATTGGTGTTATGTTGACTGTGATTTTTGTGCTTTCTATCGCCATCGTCAAGATCCTGACGCTTATGTTATGGAGCGGGAAGAACTGGGGAAAAAGATACAGGAAACACTGGATCTTGGGGGTGAGCTGATTCTCATGCAAGGTGGATTGCATCCGAAACTTAAACTTGACTGGTACGAAGATCTCCTCCGTTGGATCAAAGCCAATTACCGCATTCATATCCATGGGTTTTCCCCCCCAGAGTTGGACTGGTTTGCCAAGATAAACCGTATGTCGTTGCGAGAGATGCTTCTCCGGTTGCGAGATGCCGGACTTGATTCGATCCCTGGCGGCGGTGCAGAGATTCTTACTGACCATGCCCGCAATGAGATTAGCCCTAAGAAGTGCACCGCTGATGAATGGCTGGAAGTCATGCGTCAGGGACACTTGGTTGGACTCAAGTCGAGCGCGACGATGATGTACGGGCATGTAGAAAGTTACGCCGAACGTGTCGAACATCTCGTCAGACTGCGTGATTTGCAAGATGAGACAGGCGGATTTACAGCGTTTATCTGCTGGTCGTTACAACCCGCCAATACCCGTATGGATCATATACCCCCTGCAGGAAGTTTTGAATATCTCAAAACACTTGCTATTTCGCGATTGTTCTTGGATAATTTCGACAACTTTCAATCTTCATGGGTAACCCAAGGTCCGAAGATCGGACAGCTATCGCTTAAATTCGGTGCGAATGATATGGGTGGTACAATGATAGAGGAGAACGTTGTCAGCAAAGCTGGAACGGTCTATTGCATGCCGATTGAGGAGATCGAACGCACTATAACCGAGTTAGGTTATGTTGCCAAACGCCGCAATTTCTTCTACGAACTCCTTAATTAATTACGACTGGAGCCTTCAACCCGACAAAGTGGCGAACGCTCAAATTGAGACTTCCGTGCTTAGAGTTTGAGATGCCTGATACCCGCCCTAACATCCTTTTAATCACCACCGACCAACAACGTGGTGACTGTCTGGGCTTGGATCCCAACGGGCCCAACTGCTTACAGACACCAAACTTGGATTGGATCGGTCGCACTGGCACGCATTTCCGCCGTGGATATGCTGAATGCCCGAGTTGTATTCCGGCTCGACGTAGTCTGATGACAGGTACCGCGCCAGCCGCCAACGGCGCAGTTGGATTTAAAGGAGCACCGTGGAACCCACCGCATACCTTGGCAGGTGAATTGTCTGCAGCTGGTTATCAAACCGAGATGATCGGCAAACTACACCTGACCCCACCGCGTAAACGGTACGGTTTCGAGCACCTCCAACTGGCTGATGCCACCCGTGGCGATGATAACGACTATGTCGATTGGTTGCGGCAATATCACCGCCGCAACGATGTTCATCCAGGCGTTGCCCACGGTGTCTCCGCCAACGGGTGGGTCGGTCGCCCGCATCATCTACCGGAAGAGCAGATGCACACCTTCTGGTGTATCGACCGCACCCTCAATTTTCTTCAAAAACGTGACCCGACGGTGCCCTTTTTTCTCAACATCTCTTTTATAGATCCGCACCCACCGTTAACTCCACCGGCACATTATTACCAGCGCTACATCCAGCGGGATCTCCCTTCACCGGTGGTTGGTGACTGGGCACCCGAATTCGAGGGGGCTGAGAAGGGGTTGGATCCAAACGCTTGGGAAATCTGTCTCGACGACCACGATATGCAATGTGCTCGTGCGGCTTATTACGGGATGATCAATTTTATCGATGATCAGATCGGCCGCTTAATCCAGTCCATAGGCGGACTGGCGGACTGTTTGATCGTTTTCACCTCCGACCACGGTGAGATGCTGGGCGACCACAACCTGTACCGCAAAACCTGGCCCTACGAAGCCTCGGCACGAGTGCCTTTTCTGATACGGGCACCGGCGAAATGGGGCTACCCAACAGAATCCGTCTGCCAAAGCCCCGTCGGTCTACAAGACATCATGCCCACTATTTTGGACGCTACCGGGGTTGAGATTCCCAGTATCTGCACTGGCAGAAGTCTACTACCCATCATGCAAGGGAATACCGACCGGGTACGGGACTATCTACATGGAGAGCACTCCGGTTGTTACGATTACAGTCATGGTAACCACTATGTAACCGACGGACATTACAAGTACGTGTGGTATTCCCAAACCGGTCGAGAACATCTCTTCAATCTGCAGGACGATCCCCACGAAACACACGATCTGGCTGAATCGGAAACCCTCCTAACCCCTTGGCGGAATCGTTTAATCGAGTTTCTCCGTCACCGCCCCGAAGGCTTCACCGATGGCACAAATCTCATAGCGGGGCAAACGCATGATGCCTTGCTGCCGGACTATCATCCGGATGCCACTTATTCCTATTTGTGACGTGTGTTCAACTTAAACATTTAGAGAAATCTTTGGCGGGAAGAGTGCTAACGATAATCTGGATGTATCCAGAGTTCACTCGCCTTTTTGCGTGCGGCGAACCAATTCAAATATGTTTCCCGTTTTTTGGCTTGAATAAGGGCTTGACGATGCCGAGCTTTCTCAGCCGGGTCCGTTTGGAACGTTTCAATGTCTGGTTCTTCCCGTTCAATGAGTTGAACAATGTAAACGGCAGTGTTGCCTTTGAAGGGACCACCAATCTCATCAACTTTCATCCGAAATGCTGCGAACATAGTTTCAGCCGAGCTTCCCATACCGGCAATATAATCGCTGTTTGGGCTGAGCGCGAACAGGTTGCTTTCTTGGACAGAGAGTTGGTCTGTGGCTAAGCCTTCAGGAGCATCATACTTCTCCAATAAGGCATCCAGCGATGTGGTGTCTGCACGTTTATTGAACAGGTTTTGTGCATCCGTAAAGGCACGCTCTTTAGATTTTTCCGTCTTCAGGTCGCTGAAAACCGTCGCTTTGATTTCCGAAAAAGGTGGGACAGCCGCCGGTTTCTTCTCAAGAACAGTGGCGACAAAATAGGCTTCCACCCGTTCTCCATCCGATCTTTTCGCCTCAATAACTTTTATTACGTTCACTTCCATATCAAAGAGTTCTTCGATTAACCCTTGATAGCCCCATCTTGCCCCAATCTGTGGGATAGTTGTAACATCACGGCTGAAGAACCCGGTTTCCAGCACGATGAGGGAAAGATTCTTGTACGTTTCAAGTGCGAGAGCTGCTTCATAGTTCTGAATTTCAATTTCATATAGGAGGTCAGACGCAACTTTTTTTGCCGCATCAACGCCACTGACTTGAACGAGTTTTGGTCGGATGTCGTATTGGACCTGGTCGAAAGGTCGAACTTCTGGTGCTCTCTTTTCCTCCAACTTAATGATATGATATCCAAATTGTGTTTCGACTAAGCCACTGACTTCTCCCTGTTCCAAGGTGTCGAAGGCTGTTTCCTCAAAGGGTTTCACCATGTCCCCACGTGCGAAGTAGTCTCCGGGTGGAAGTTTGGGATTTCCACCTTTCAATGCGCCACCTTGTACACTGGAAGGTCCTTCTGAATGCGTCATCGCAAGTTCAGCGAAATCCGCCCCCGCGGCAAGTTCTGCGTTGATGGTTTTGAGGAGTTCCTCTGCAGCGGTTTTGGTTTCTGCCTTTTGTTCGTCGGTTGCGTTGTCAGGAAACTTTTTCAAGATATGGCGTGCTTTAACGACTTCCGGTGTCGTAAACTCCGCTTGGTTTTCCTCGTAATACGTAGCTACCTCTTCGTCTGAAACGAGATCGGCAGGATTCACCCTGATAAACTTTACACTCACCTGTTCTTCCGATTTATAGTTATTCCGATTTTTCTCAAAGTACGCCTCTGCTTCTGCTTCATCTACCTCAGTTGTTGCAGTATAATCGCTATGCTTAAATTCAATAAATTTAACTTTTGCCTTATCTGATTCAAGTCGATATGCTTGTTCTGCTTCAGTATCGGTTACCAATTCAAGCGATTGGACACTATCTCGGAGTGCAGTGGAACTAAGTTGTAAACGAATATTCTCTGTGTAGAGGTCTACTGCCCCGAATTGTTGATAAAGATTGTATTGCTCGACTCGGCTTGCGTCACTTCGGATGTAGCGTTCTATCTCAGCATAACCGATATCCACACTTCCAAGAATGGTTTGTTGCACCCAGCGATCGATCACCGATTTTTGCGTTTCCTCCCGATCAGGCGCGCCAAACCTCTGGTTTCGTCTTTGATTCTCTATGGCATTGGCAACGGCACTTTCAAACTCTCCGCGTTTGACTTCTGTGCTATTAATTCTGAGAACAACTTCTCCTTCAGGTCCTTCACTTCCGCCACGCGTGTTGCTATAGAGAAATACTGTCCCTACAAGGAACACAATGGCGATTATCCACATAAAAAGTTGCGCAATAAATTTTTCGCGTAGAAAGATAATCATCAATCTTCAGGGTGGAGATCCCTACTTTTAGATAGGGGAGGAAACCCTGCCTCCTTTTTTAATATTAAGGGCAGACTTTGTTTTACCTCGCACCTGCGAACGAGGTCTACAGTGCCCGTTACTCATATCGCCACGGGCAGACGATCTGTAGTCAACAGTTTAACTCGTGGAGTGGACGTTTGGAAACCACGCTTCGCACAAGCCCTTGCTTCAGTTAGGGTAGTTGACGTTTTACTTAAGGTATCCGCTGTTTGGTTTCTATTACTCTCAAACAGAGGTGTTAATATTATACATGCAAACGGGGAGAATGTCAAACCAGATAGGCGAAAATACAGTGGATTTTGGAGATCGAGAATAAAAATTTGCTAATTTTTGATATTTGCTATATACTAATTAGCAAATATCAAGGGCGTTGCTTGCAGGTCCTTATAAAACTCGGCAAGACACATGATGCAAATTCGGGATGCAACAGATTTTAGTTTGAAATATACCTTAGAATCGGGACAGTCGTTTCGATGGAATCGAATAGATGATGCCTATTACGGTGTCGTGGAAGGACGCATCCTCAAAATTTGTCAAGTAGGAACTACCTTGCGTGTTGAGAGCTCTGCCGCCGAGGATAGGACTACCTTCGTACCATTTCTCCAACACTATCTTGACCTTGGGCGCGATGTTCCAAAGATCCCTGACCGAAGTAAACAATGATGCCTATATGCATCGGACAATTGAGAAACTTTGGGGGATGCGCATTCTCAATCAAGAACTTTGGGAAACGGTGGCATCGTTTATTCTATCTCAGAACAACAATGTATCCCGGATTCGTGGGATTATTCGCCGACTCTCTGAGCGTTTTGGCGAACAGTTGACGTTTGCACGTTACGTGGATTATAGTTTTCCGAGTCCAGAAGCACTCGCAACTACAACAGAGGATGAACTCCTTGCTTGTGGTGTCGGCTATCGAGCGAGTTATCTTCGAGATGCTGCGGAAGCAGTTGTTAGTGGTGAACTTGCCCTTACGGCGGTGAAGGGGATGTCGTATCCTGAGGCAAAGCGTGAATTAATGTGCCGAAAAGGTATTGGTGAGAAGGTAGCTGATTGTATCTGTCTATTTTCGCTTGGACATCTTGCAGCACTGCCGATCGATGTTTGGATAAAACGAATCTTTGAGACACTTTACCTACGCCGGCGTGCTACGTATCATGAGATACGCGAGTTCGCACACGCCTACTTCGGGGATCGCGTGGGGTACGCGCAGCAGTATCTTTTTTCACTACGTCCATGAATGTCCAGATTGGGCGAATGCTGAGCATCTGTCGCTGATTGAAACGAGCGCGACTGCTGCGGTGGAGAATCGTAAATCCGCCGCGAATTAATAAACAAACCACTTTGGAGGAATTAATATGTCTGAAGCATTTGAACAAAGTATTGTATCACTGCTGGAGGAACGTGTTGAACTTGCGATTTCAACCGTCCAACAATTGAGAGCAGAAAAGTTGGAACTTGAGGCTGAAATTTCCCGACTCACCAGTGATTTACTGCAACGCGATGGAGAGATTCAAAATCTTGAAGATCGTAATAGCGATCTTAAGGAGGAACTTGACTCAGAGCGTGCAGCCACCTCGGATGAACGATCAGAGATCCGCGAGAGACTTGCGGGTTTGATGGATGTCCTCATTGCATCAGATGAAAGTCCGGTAGATACAAACGATGAAATCACTTTTGAGGTAGACACTGATGAAGTAGATACAAACGATGAAATCACTTTTGAGGCAGACACTGATGAACCGGACGCGGAAGCAACTGAAGCTGAGGCGTCAGTGCGCCCAAGAGTCTTTAGGAGTATTTAGGGACTTAATTACTTGTGCGTGTCTTAGTCCTTTCCCATTCCTATATTATGAAGCCGTACCGACGAAAGTTCGCTCTCATTGCGGAACGTCCGGATGTCACATTACGGGTTGTGGTTCCTGCACGTTGGTATGAAAGTTTCCAAGATATTGTCTTTGAACCAGACTCAGACACGCCGTGTGAAGAATTTCCGTGTCCAATCCAATTCTCGGGGTACGGCAGTCGTTTTTACTACCGCCATGGTGTGAAGTCCCACTTCCGAGATTTTCAACCGGATATTATCCACTTAGAGGAGGAGGCGTGGAGCCTCAATGCCCTACAGACAGTTCGGTTGAAACGGAAATATTGTCCAAACAGTCGTTTTATTTTTCGTACATCCCTGAGTATACCGACCAAACAGCGGTTTGGCTTTTTGCCTGTATGGATTGAACGCCGTGTCTTTCGAGAAACGGATAGAGCTTTCCCGCTGAGTGTGAATGCTGGCAAGGTTCTAACCCAACGGGGTTACACCGGACAACAAACCCCGTTCCCGAATGGCGTTGATATGCGGCATTTCTATAAGATGGATGTCAGCAAGCTGAAGGATTCATTGCATCTCAGCGACTGTTTTGTGGTTGGTTACGTCGGCAGATTGCTTCAGATGAAGGGAGTAGATACGCTTCTTGAGTCTGTGGCGCATCTTGTAAGCCAGGATACGACGCGCACCTATAAACTTTTAATTGTCGGGCAAGGTGAAGATAAACCGAGTTTCAAAAAACTGCCGAAAACCCTGGGGAATTTCTGGACATATGTGTGGATAGACGCGGTGCCTCCTGAAGAGGTAGCCCGCCTATATTAATTGTATGGATACACTGGTTCTACCATCTCGGACAACAACCGGATGGGTAGAATTCTTCGGTAGGGTGCTTATTGAAGGAATGGCATGCGAAGTAGCCGGTTGTCGGTTCAGATTCTGGCGAAATTCCACACGTGATTGATAGCGCGCGGGACTTATCTTCCCTGAGGGCGATATGGAGGTTTTGGCAGAACGGATATATCGCATCGCGCACGATGCATGTCTTCGGAACGATTTAGTTGAAGGTGGGCTTAACCGCGTCAAGGATTTCACATGGGAGACGATCGCTGAACAGACTTATCAGGTATATCAGG